TCCATCACTATAGGCCTTCTGTAGACGGGTTCTTAAGGGGCTCTCCACACTCCTGATGACTAGGCTATGCGCATATACTGTGTCAAGTGCAGGGCAAGGCATCTGAACAGGACAAACAGCCAAAGCCTCATGTACTGATGTGCAAAAGGGTTAACTGGAATGAATAGTCCAGACAGGCGTTCCATTATTTCACCGACTTGCTTGTTCTAGGTCAGTGATTCTCAAGCAGAAAATAATGGACAACGAAGTACCTTTAAAGCTTGATTCACACTAGTGCGACTCAGACGTCGCACAATTTCCATGCGACTTTGACACTCTGTGGTACTAAAGTCACAAGAAAGTCGTATCCTACCTATCCCGACGCTCCTTCAGTGTCACCTACAATGGCGCCACCTCCCCCTCCCTCCCCCTCTCTGTTGGGGTCCCCCAAGGCTCTGTCCTTGGACCCCTTCTCTTCTCCATCTACACCTCCTCCCTGGGCAAACTCATACACTCTCACGGCTTCAACTATCACCTCTACGCTGACGACACCCAAATCTACCTCTCCACCCCTCACCTCACCCACACTATCTCCGCCCGCATCACTCACCTCCTAAATGACATCTCAGACTGGATGTCGCTACATTTCCTCAAGCTCAACCTCTCCAAAACCGAGCTCCTCATCTTTCCCCCTGCCAACACCCCCCCCCCCCCCCCATCCTATCCATCATCACCAACAACTCCACTATCACTCCCGCCCCGCAAGCCAAAGTCCTTGGCGTCATTCTTGACTCAAACCTCTCCTTCCTGCCTCATGTCAAATCACTCACAAACACATGCAGGCTCCATCTTCGCAACATTGCCAAGATACGTACCTTCCTCACCCCAGACACCACCAAACTTCTAGTACACTCCCTCATCATCTCACGCCTTGACTACTGTAATTCTCTTCTCAACGGCCTACCCCAGTGCAGGCTCTCCCCGCTCCAGACCATCCTGAACTCAGCGGCTAGACTCATCCACCTCACCACCGCTCCTCCACCTCTGCCACCCCCCTCTGCCTCTCCCTCCACTGGCTCCCGATTGCCCAACGCATCAAATTTAAACTCCTAACCCTGACCTACAAAGCCGTTCACAACACTGCCCCTGACTACCTCACCAACCTGATCCCCAAGTACCGCCCTACCCGTACCCTTCGCTCCTCACAGGACCTCCTTCTATCCTGCTCCCTGGTCTCCTCCTCCCATGCACGACTGCAGGACTTCTCCAGGTCCTCCCCCATCCTCTGGAACTCACTGCCCCGATCCATCAGACTGTCGCCTTCCCTCTTCACATTCAGGCGCTCCCTCAAAACCCATCTCTTCAGGGAAGCCTACCCCACCCTCACCTAACGGCCATCCTCCCTCATTCCTCCCACCACTTCATCCCCCTCAGCCACTTCCTACTGTACCTTTACCCCCTCCCTCCTAGATTGTAAGCTCGAAAGAGTAGGGCCCTCTTACCCCTCGTACGTTGTTTGTTGTTGTTGTACTGTGCCATGTATTGTCCCCCCTATTGTACAGCGCTGAGCAAACCCTTTGGCGCTATATAAACTCGTAGTAATAATAATAATAATAATAATAGTATCTAAGTAGTGCAGGAACCTTTTTTAACCACTTGACTACCAGGCACTTATACCCCATCCCTGACAAGGCCAATTTTCAGCTGTCGCATTTTGAGTGACAATTGTGCGGTCATGCAACACTGCATCCATATGAAATTTTTATCATTTTTTCACACAAATAGGGCTTTCTTTTGTTGGTAGGTACTCGCCACTGAGTGTTTTATTTTTTGCGCTATAAACAAAAAACAGCAAAAATTGTTTCTATTATAACATTTTGCAAACAGGTAATTTTTCTCCTTCACTGATGTGGGTTGATGAGGCTGCACTGATAGGCGGCACTGATGAGCTGGCACTGATATGCAACAATGATGGGCACTGATAGGCAGCACTGATGGATGGCCCTGACTGGCGGCACCACTGGGCACTGACTGGCGGCACTGCTGGGTGGCACTGCTGGGCACTGACTGGCGGCACTGCTGGGTGGTACTGCTGGGCACAGGTGAGTGGCACTGCTGGACACTGATCATCAGGGCACTGCTCATCAGTGCCCCGATGATTGGTGCCGATCCCTGCTCTGACAATTGCCGGTTATCGGCAGTACTTTCCTCACACTGTCACCGCGTAAGGAAAGTGCAGGTGATAACCGGCAACTGCATTTACCGATGATCTGCTGTGTCATGTGGTAAAAGGCCGCTGTGATTGGCCTGTTACCACATCACATGATCAGCTGTGTCTGTAGGACACAGTGATCACGGAGATTGCCGGGGGCGCACGGGAGGGAGCGTTCTGGGAGGATGTCATATGACGTCCCAGAACTGGCCGGCTGCAGTGAAGCCACCATTCGGCTATCTGCAGTTGGCAAGTGGTTAAAGATGCTGCAACTTTAGTCGCATAGATTGGAATGGGTGCCATTAAAATAAATAGATTTCTACTTGTCATGTGACTTTATGTGTCGCAAGTGTACAATCCAAACGCACACATTCCTGCGTTAAACATGGCTGTGTGTATAAGTGGGTGCTGCAGCGAACGTCGGCTGGAACCAAACAGAATCAGCAAGGGAGAATGTCACCAGCACACCGAGGATTACCAATATGGGTCCAAAAGTTTTAATGAACGATCACATAGTTACCACAAGGCAATGTTTCGAGGTCTCGCAAGACCCCTTCATCAGGCATGTGACCTTTTTCATCACACAGGATGTTCCATCACATGCCTGATGAAGGGGTCCTGCGAGACTCCAAAACGTTGCCTTGCTGTAACCATGTGATCGTTCATTAAAACATTTGGCCCCATATTGGTGATCCTCGGTGTGCTGGTGACATTCTCCCTTGCTGATTCTGTTCGCTTCCAGCCGACGGTCGCTGCAGCACCCACTTATACACAGAGCCATTTATAACGCTGGAAAGTGCGCGCTTGGATTGTACACTTGCATTATCCCTTTATGTCGCAAGTCACATTACAAGTCGCACTAGTGTGAACTGAACCTTCAAAACAAGGTGGCATTGACCTCCCATAATTATATCCTGAGTGGATCTTTTCAAAGGCTAAGTTCACCCTTTTATATTTTTTTTTTTGCAGGTAAAAAAAAATAAAATGTGCATTTATTTATTTTTCTCAGACATCTGCACATCTGCACCGTTTTTAAATTATGACAGCGGGGGCAGGGAAAAGAACCCCCAAAGGAAATCTTCTGGCCTTTGGTGAGCCATCTGTAAAAATATTACTTTATTCCACACACTGCTGTGATCCATGATAGGGGTCAGCTACACTCAACAATTAAAATCACTAAGATTTTGCATACTGAAAAAAAGAAAGGTTGAGAAACGGCTCTAGGTAGTTTCTGTGAGGCCAAATAGCTTCTAGCTGATTGTGATGTTCTTTAGCCCTTGTTTGATGTTCTGTGTGCAGGGTGGGGACTGACAGGAGTGCTGTCATGAAATCCCTGGAGACCACTACAAAGTTCTTGCAGATCATTTCTCTGGCTTTCCTTCATGTTCCATGTACTCTAGGTCCTGCTTGGTAGGGAAAAGGGAAAAATACTTTTTATGGAACTTGTTAGTTTCACGCCTTCCCCCCTCATTTCTGGAATCTGAGGATTCTCCAGGATGGTGGGCTTAATAAGCTTTGGAGTCCTCACGCTCAGTCGTCATAACAAAGGAAATGACAGGAGGCTGTACTCTCTCCACACCTGCGGAAAAAAGCACCTATGCTTTTTTTGTGGTGTTGGTGGTGCCACTTGCTCATAGTGCTGAAAACAAGAGACTTTAGAACTTTCATGTGCAGTAACATGGGTCAGGAGTACCAGATAGCATGCTTTCATGGCCATTGGAAAACCAGACACCCCCTCACCCAAAGGTTTCCTTAGGTTTTACTATTAAAACAAAGCTCTACATTATTCCAATGTCCTTTTGTGTAGTATATAGTACCCCTTCCTCTCCACACAGAGCTGCAAGGGTGGTATAGCATTGTCTAAAGCACGGTTTCTCAACCAGAGTTCCATGGAAGCCTAGGGTTCCTCCAGACGTTGCTAAGAGTTCCTTGAGCAATTTCTGCCTCTCAGATGATTTCCCACTGGCACCATTGATCTTTTTGGCTATCTATAAATCTTCCCAAGGACCACAAGTGTAAGGAACATTCTTCCCACTGACCATCACACTAATGTATCATGAGTTGAAGATTTAGTCATTTTTAGCAGGGTTTCCCTGAGACCAGAAAGATATTTCAAGGGTTCCTCTGTGCTGAGAAGGTTGAGAAAGGCTGGTCTAAAGGATCATTTTGTGATCTTAATACAGATTGGTAAAAAGTATTCTGTTTACAAAATCTACTCATTTGATTATTTTCTGTAGCCAGTTAGGTCTCATGCACACAGGGCATTTTTGCTGCCCCTTTTCAGGCTTTTAGAAGCTTTTAGTAGCAGTAGCATTTATCAGCAGAAAAAAACTCAGGGCCAGTGCAGCGGTTTGGCAGAAAAAAATGCTTGGTGCCTGTAAATGCGGCTAAACTCATGTTAATGCTAGGCGCATTTAGGACTTGAGAGTTAATTCATTTCAATTGCCAGAATACATGATTATTCTGGTCAATGAAATGAATGAACTCCCAAACGTTTGGCGCTTGTAAACGTACCTCAACACTTGTAAATGCGTTAAGACACTTTGACAAGCACCGGGCATTCTTTCTGCCAAAATGCTGCTGCCAAGAGGAGTGTTTTTAAAACATTCTGTGTGCATGAGGTCTTAGAACTGGGTGTGCTGATTAGACACAGCTGATATCTTTTCTTATCCATTAAATTATTATTATACAGGATTTACATAGCGCCAACAGTTTGCACATCGCTTTACAAAATGAAGGCAGACATTACGGTTACAATACAATTTGGTACAAGAGGAAACAGGGCTTACAATCTAGAATGTGAACTCACCTTATGGGCCTGAATGAGCATGTGAATAACTCCGGGAGCTCCATGACACCAGTGCACCAGCCGATCTGTCTCATTGCTTAAAGATGAAGGATAATTACCCGACCTAAACTTCTTGTGACGGACATAATCGATGCATGGCTTCACAAGTTCTGTTAATGTTTCTTGTTCTACTTTTGCCAGGGGCTGTAGAAAACAACATATGCAGTATATATGTATTACACATTCATAATAGTAAGGACCAGAAACACAATTGGCACTGAATTCATCATACAAGCAAATGACCATTCTTTCTTAGAATCTGAGCCAGATCTAGTACATTGTCAAATGTGCAGGAACCTGACAAGCACCAACTGCCACATTATGTTTAATACTGGCAGTTCTGTGTATTCACATACAGTATGTGTGGCTTCCTTTACAGTGTAAAAACTAGACAAAAGAAAAATTAGAATATTGGTTTACCTGTGAAATCCTTTTCTTGGACTACACAGGGGAGTTGATATTCATGACTACTTGGGTTATGCTGCCACCTTCAGGTGAATGGACACTGGCAAATGTAAAAGTTTATTTAAACCCTCACCTTGCAGAACAACTCATACAGTTTAAAACAGAAATTAAAGGAAAAACATTTGTGTATTGATATAAAAACATTCTAAATACCTTTTTCTCCTTTTTTAAAAGTGTTCACATACCCTCTTTTCTCAGCTGCATAGAGAGGTGAGGGTGGAAAAACAGCAGGACACTGATTTTCCCAGTGAAAGGCTATGCATATGGGGAGGAGGAGGGGGTCACGTCAGGACAAGTCAAATCATTGGAGGAAAGCACAAAGAGTTCCCAGCACAGCTAGAGAACTGACTACGCTGTGCTCTCATGGCTAGTGTGGTCAGTTTTTGATAAGAAAGCAGAGGGACTGGCAGGAACACCAGGGATTTCACACAAAGGAAGCAATATAAAGAGAAAAGGATACCTTTTCATACAAGTACAGGTACAGGTACAGCAGACACATATCAGGAATGAGAAATGTTGGGTTTACATATTTTTTAAGATCCCAAAAGGGACAGATCGTGCCACACAGAATTAACAATCTGTATGACACGCTGCACAAAGGCTTTAATCAAGGACCGTGATGCAACAGGTCTCTGAAAATGCACGGCCAAGGTTAAGATTCCTCCTTTGATCGTACTCAAAGTCAAAGACATCTCCACTCTAGGCTGTCGGGGAAGAAATATCTGAGCTTCACACCATGTGAAATAAGCCTTCCATGTACACCTTCCTGTAGGAGGGTAGGAATTACAGAGTGTGAGACACCGTCCTTCATGACTTGCTGGATGGAAGATCAGACCCTGCAGTAGCAAGTCTGGCTCATCTAGAAGAGCCTATGGCTCATCTGCCAAGAGATTTACAATGTCTTCATACCACATTCTTCCTAATCAAGCCCCTGCGATCAGAATCACCAGAATGCCCTACATCTTCATCCTGCGTAACCTATGAGGAAGGAGTTGGAGTGAATGGAAGGCATAGGTCAGTGAAAACCAATCCCAAGGAGTCACCAGGGCACAGTCCAGTTTGTTGTTGCATCTGGATGCCAAGAGATTCACATCTAGAATCCCTCACCAGTGCTTCCTGCGTTTTCCAGTGGAAGATGACCACTATCGATTTGTGGTGTTACTCTTGAGCCTGTCTATGGCCCCCAGGGTGTTTATCAAGATGTTGGTTCTGGGATTGTTGAGGACCCAGGGGATTTCCATTGTAGAGTAACTGTATGATTTGCTTCTAAGGGAGCAGTTGGATCAGACACTGAAGTAATGTAGGCATCCTTGATATCCATTGATGCCAGGAAGTCCCTTTAATGAAGTGAAGAAATCACCAGCCAGATGGACTCCATCTTGAATTTCTGTACCTTCAGGAATGTATTAAGACCTTTGTGGTCCAGGACGGGCTAGAGGTCTTGGCTATTGAATTGTAAACAGGTTGGAATAGAAGCTGTGAGATCTCTGCTGGTACAGACGCAAAGACACTTTGGGACAGCACCCCTTAGTTCTTTCCAAGAAAATTGCTCTCTTTCATGGATCCAAAGATACCCTTGAGCATGTAGGGGAAAATTAGTTAAATTCCAGCTTGTAACCTTTGGAAACAATGCTGCAGACCTAGTTTTCTGTGGCCTCCTAAATCCAGGTGGCTATGAAGTCCAGTAGAAATCCTCCCATCTGTGCAGAGATGCCCCTTCAATGAGAGGAGGATTTGCCTCCTAAAACAGAGGACTTAGGGAGGCCATTTCTTCTTAAAGAACTGAGATGGAGGTTTTCGCTTGGAGCCCGATAGCTTATGAAAGGATCTCTTCTTGGACTATAAAGGCATCAACAGATTCTGACCTGTAACTTTTGCCTTCCATTTAAGGGGTAACAGTGTTCTCTTCCCCACAGTCACCTTCTGGATATAGGCTTCTAAGGATGGTCCAAATAAGCATTCACCCTCAAGCGGCAGCCTCCCAATTTGCTAATTGTAGAGATGTTCTGCCAACCAAAAATTATCCACCAGGAAAGTTAGGGTCTTATATTTCCTAAACAGTAAATAGCCAGGTCAACAGCAGGAGAGCCCCATTTTTTGGAGGCTAGTGTTCTCCTGAGGGAATCAGCAACTCAGCCTAAGGGTGTCAGCCTAGGTCTAGAACAGTACCCCCCAAAAAAGTCAAGTTCTCCTTTACTTGCTGCAGTCAGCAATGGTTGAAGGCAAGATGGTGCATATTCTGATTGGATTCTGTGGAGTCAGTGTTGGGCCAGAGAAACATATGTATTGGAACTAGAGTCAAAATGGCCACAAAGTACCAGATCGCATCTTTTACACACTGCCACTGTCTGTATAGCACCCCATTGGCAAATATAGTTTGCTACATGAATTCTCAAAGCCTGGATTCTCAAATCCAGGACTTCCACAGCTCCACAGTACATAGAGGAACTCATCAGTCCACACTGCATTGCCATATCAGGCCCAAACTTCACCCTCTACTGTGAACATGCCCTGCAGGGCCTTCAGGGACTTTACAACCCTCCAGGGAATCATTGCCCTGGAACTGCAGTGCACTCTGCCAGTGTGGCCAGCAGGTATGCTGTACACCAGAGGTTGCTGCCCACAGGGTCCAGTGCAAAATGGTAGATATTACAGGTCCAGGTACTGTCCCTTTTGGCCTGCTGGCCATAGTGACCAATCCAGATGGAGCCAACCTCTGCCCTGTGAGGGAAGCAACCATCGCCTTCAGACAATAGCACAAAACTAAGGCTTAGCTGAGCTGAGAGGAGTTATGCCCGGAAAGGAGTCCTGCCTTTTTTTGTCCAGTATCCAGTCACCTGGTGGCAGCATAACCCAAGTAGTCAAGAATATTAAAGGATAAGTTCAACTTTGGGAACATGTTACATGTTTCACCTATTTTTAGGGTGGAACGTGTAACACGTTCCCAAGCTTATCACTTTAACTCTTCCAGGTTCTGTGACATATAATTAAGAAATTCCATTGTGATACATACGATATCCCCTTATGCTGTATAAAACGGTACTGAAAAAAAAAAACAATTAAGAAATTAGGTTGTTGCTGGCTAGCGGAAAAAAGCACCTTAGTGATTACGAACGAAACGGTTCCTTTTTAACTTTGCAAGTCTTTATAAAAAAAAAATTATATGACTCACCTGCATAAGCATATAGTAGATACCAGCCAATCCATGTGCTGCCCCTACATACTGCTTCTTGTGCCATTGATACAACAGTGGACAGCGCTCAGTCTTATGCTCTTCTTTCGATAAGGTTTTCCCAGACTCTAAGATGGCATCTACAAGCTGAAGTTTGAAGTTAGTTAGTAGGAAAAAAATTTTTTTTATGTTTTTAACCTGGCAAAACTACAGGCACATGTCAAGGAAGGTTATATTGATGTCAGCAGTGAATAGTGAAAATTAAGGATTGTTGAATCAATCTGCTTAAACCAGAGTTCTTAGCTGACTGGGCCAAACAGAGGTATATTCTTGTTTTTTGATCTGTGATGTATTACCATGTCTTTTTACTGCAATAGTGGCAGGCCACCTCATTATCCCTTCTTACCCAGTAAACGGCTTTCCCACCATCTGCAATTCAGCATCAATGTCTTTAGTCTTTTTAGGACAAGGTCAAACAGCCAGTAGTGCAGAGGAGAACGCCAGCCTGTATTTTATTGTCAGCAGAGCCAACACTTGTTGACTTTTTTCACTCTGGCAAAAAAACCCCAAGGACATTCTGCATCTCACAGTGACTCTCACATTGGTTTATTACAGTACCATTCTGACAAAATGTCATCAGAGGAAACTGCATGTTGATGTACATGTTCGCAAAGCTCTCAACAGACAATTTTTATATGATATTGATATGAAGTGTAGCACCGGCTTATAAATCAGATATCTCTAGTAATCAGATGATTATATCACTGCAACAGAATTATAATTGCTTTTCAGTCGGTTATGACCTATATACATCACGCTTGGTCTGAAAAGGTTTGCCATCAACAGATAAAATAATGGCAGCAAACAGACCATAGGAAGAGTATGACTGATGTAACAAATAAACGCTTAGATACTCTGGCACACGTGGGAAACTAGAAAGCACATTTAATCAAACATATCAAGGAGGTGAGCTCTGCATTCACCTTCGTTGGTCCAAAATTACTGTCAATAAGGACTGGAACATCTATATTTGTTCAAATAAAGAATGATAAGAGTTTCACCAAAAAAGTCCAACCATTTTTTCCAACCCTTACTGACAAGTTTTATAAAAGGGATGTGGCGCATATACAGTCAGGTCCATAAATATTGGGACATGGACACAATTCTAACATTTTTGGCTCTATACACCACCACAATGGATTTGAAATGAAATGAACAAGATTTTCCTTTACTGCAGACTGTCAGCTTTAATTTGAGGGTATTTACATCCAAATCAGGTGAACGGTGTAGGAATTACAACAGTTTGCATATGTGCCTCCCACTTGTTAAGGGACCAAAAGTAATGGGACAATTGGCTTCTCAGCTGTTCCATGGCCAGGTGTGTGTTATTCCCTCATTATCCCAATTACAATGAGAAGATAAAAGGTCCAGAGTTCATTTCAAGTGTGCTATTTGCATTTGGAATCTGTTGCTGTCAACTCTCAAGATGAGATCCAAAGAGCTGTCACTATCAGTAAAGCAAGCCATCATTAGGCTGAAAAAACAAAACAAACCCATCAGAGAGATAGCAAAAACATTAGGCGTGGCCAAAACAACTGTTTGGAACATTCTTAAAAAGAAGGAACGCACCGGTGAGCTCAGCAACACCAAAAGACCCGGAAGACCACGGAAAACAACTGTGGTGGATGACCGAAGAATTCTTTCCCTGGTGAAGAAAACACCCTTCACAACAGTTGGCCAGATCAAGAACACTCTCCAGGAGGTAGGTGTATGTGTGTCAAAGTCAACTATCAAGAGAAGACTTCACAAGAGTGAATACAGAGGGTTCACCACAAGATGTAAACCATTGGTGAGCCTCAAAAACAGGAAGGCCAGATTAGAGTTTGCCAAACGACATCTAAAAAAGCCTTCACAGTTCTGGAACAACATCCTATGGACAGACCAAGATCAACTTGTACCAGAGTGATGGGAAGAGAAGAGTATGGAGAATGAAAGGAACTGCTCATGATCCTAAGCATACCACCTCATCAGTGAAGCATGGTGGTGGTAGCCTCATGGCGTGGGCATGTATGGCTGCCAATGGAACTGGTTCTCTTGTATTTATTGATGATGTGACTGCTGACAAAAGCAGCAGGATGAATTCTGAAGTGTTTCAGGCAATATTATCTGCTCATATTCAGCCAAATGCTTCACAACTCATTGGACGCCGCTTCACAGTGCAGATGGACAATGACCCAAAGCATACTGCAAAAGCAACCAAAGAGTTTTTTAAGGGAAAGAAGTGGAATGTTATGCAATGGCCAAGTCAATCATCTGACCTGAATCCGACTGAGCATGCATTTCACTTGCTGAAGACAAAACTGAAGGGAAAATGCCCCAAGAACAAGCAGGAACTGAAGACAGTTGCAGTAGAGGCCAGGCAGAGCATCACCAGGGATGAAACCCAGCGTCTGGTGATGTCTATGCGTTCCAGACTTCAGGCTGTAATTGACTGCAAAGGATTTGCAACCAAGTATTAAAAAGTGAAAGTTTGATTTATGATTATTATTCTGTCCCATTAGTTTTGGTCCCTTAACAAGTGGGAGGCTCATATGCAAACTGTTGTAATTCCTACACCGTTCACCTGATTTGGATGTAAATACCCTCAAATTAAAGCTAACAGTTTGCAGTTAAAGCACATCTTGTTTGTTTCATTTTAAATCCATTGTGGTGGTATATAGAGCCAAAAATGTTAGAATTGTGTCGATGTCCCAATATTTATGGACCTGACTGTAACTGAGCCAATCTCTGTTAATGTTGATCTACGGTCTTAAATTCCCTAATTTACTTCCAAGAACTCAAACCTGTGCACTTGGATATCAGAAAATTTGACAAAGTATGTCTATCAACATCTGCTTGTAAAGGCTGCAAGCCCAAGAGACTGCTGATCCAGACATTCAAGCAGCAAACTCAATGATTGGGCTCATAAAAGGTCAATGTCATTGACATACCCCATTGCTTGTTTCATTTATCTTTGAGTTACCCTCTAATAATTGAACTGAAATGACAGCCAAATAGCTGAATAAATAATTGAACTACAAATATGTTTTTTTTTATAAAAGAAAAACCCCAAAACCTTAAAATCACATGTAGCTATTAGTTCAAACAACTCTGTCCCATTATATAGCGAAGAAATGGATGTATACAGGGGCATGACTACAGATCAAGCAGCCTCATAGCGAAATTGTGATGGGCCCCAGGTCACAAGTCTACAATCATTAAAAATGACATTGCACTCACATGACACTCAAGCCATAAATTACATAAAGAACATCCAACATATTTGATTTGTTTACATTTTGTTTAGCACATTTTATTCTTTATTGGGGATGTCTGGATGTGGTAGGGGAGATCTAATTTAGCTCTCCACCATGAACCCCTGCAACTACAGGTCTTTTATGGTATTGAGCCATTTCTTATTAATACCATCTGTATCTAGGATGTGCCTGGATCAGCGCTGACCTGTCTAAACATGGATGATGTAATACCACGCAGTGCTGATGAGGTCACAAAGTACATTACATCACTTACCCTTTTTATTCTATACCAAAGCATTGTTGTGTATGATACTACTGAGCACTCGTAGCCTCCCTAGCTGTCTGATTATGTCCATATTTCTGTGCTCAAAGCGGTACATTTTTTTGCATGGAAATATGTAGTTTTTTTATTGTAGGCCTGTAATTTTTAGGAATAACTCACTGAAATCTGTCCGAACAAGAGTCTAGTAAACATTCCGGTTATGTTAAAATTTGAAACACAAAATCATAAATTATAATTTAATAAATAATCATAAAAAAAAATAATAATAATAATAAATTTATTTCAATAATATAAGCAAACCAAAAACACTGAAATTTGAAATATAGCGCCAAGTTTGCACATCACAGAGCAAAGTCGCAAAATCATTTTCAGTGTCTGATGACAAATTTCCCCACAAATCATTATCAATCAATTCTGCAAGTGGTTCTAATTTACTATCGCTGTTCTCTAGCCGGTCTAAAACCGCTTTTGACCTAAAGGGACGCTTTTTGGACGCCATGGACTTTTCTCAGTTTCCAGGCAATAAGAACAGTAAAAATGCAGGCAGGGCACAGGACAAAGCAGTAGGGACAAAGTGTATGTGAAAAGGTTTCATACAGTAATGTAATACTATGTGATTTTAGTGAATTTAGTGAATGTCACTTTTAAAATTTTCAAATTTCCCACCAGTTCCGTCCCCGTAAGTCCTGACGTCGCAAGGAACGGAACCAGGAAGACAGATGCCGGCATCGGCCGGAGGACATTGCCGGAGACGCTGCAGCAGGGACATCGCAGGAGCGCAGGACAAGATAAGTGAAGAAGAAATCCTGGAGCAGCGCCGCATGGTATTCCCGAGTGTAGCTCGGGGTTACTGCTTGTGGTGCTGAAACTTTACCCCAAGCTACACTCAGGAATACCTCCAGGGAGGTTAAGGAACAAAATTAATCAATTCAGCTCCTTAGCTTACTGCTGGACTACAGCAGTCATCAAGAGGCTGCCAAGACCCAGCACCCAAAGGGCTCATGTATACGGGGCATTTGGAAAACTCTTCTGACCGCTGGAAACTGACTGCTGAAAAACGTAGGTTAAAAAAAACATCAGTTTAGCCGTGTTTGCATACCGCGTTTATGCGCGTTTGCGTTTAGAAGCGTTTTTAAAAGATATCCTCAGGAGACCCTCCCAAATGCCCAGAATGCACTGCAAAATAGTAAAAAATTTACTATTTCAGACATTTTGAGAGAAATAGAGAGAGCAGAAGCAGAGAGAGCAGTATGTGTTGAGATTACCTGTCTTTTCTGGTTGTACTCACTATGGATCCCATCATAATTCTACTATTTTTTTTTTCCTTCACACGAAACCTGGAACTGACTGCGCTGGTGTACTGGGACCATTTGAATTCATGGAAAACCCTTTGCATGCATTTTTGATGATGAAAAAAAGGCTCTGGACCGCATCTGGACATGGAACAGTTACAAAACGCTTCTAAACGTGGTTAACCGCGTTTACACGCGTTTGGCCTTTGAAACGCCGGTAAAATCTACTTCTGAAGGCAAGTTTGGTGCGCTAAAAAAAAAAAAAAAAACGACTGTAAACTCAGCTGCCTGTAAACAACTGTGTGTACATGGACACATAGGAAACTTTAGGGAGAGCTCAGGGGCTGCTGAAAAAAAACGCTCAACAGCTCCTGAACGTCCCTGAGCCCTTAAAGGAGGAGGTCTGGAGAACAACGGACAGATCAATGAGCACCGTTGGGCCACATGCACTGGGTAACACAGATCTAAAGCGACAGCAGCATGTCCTATGGTAAAAGAGGACTACACACTGCAGCTCGCTATGTAGGCGATCGCACATGCTGAATTTTTCTGGGTGCAAAAAAAATCATGCTTTAATTGCTAGCTAATAGTTCACAAACTGCAATGGATACATTGTTAACAGAGAAAAAAACAACTAACCTCTTTAATAGTAGCCTGAGGTACAGTATCTGGTCCAATCTCGGAGTTCACGTAAATCAATGCATACAGGTAGCCGGCTCTACCATACAACAACTCATCTGGAAGTTCAGAGTCTGTGCTCACCACTCCTCGGTGTAATTGCAGCAATCTGAGCAGGAAACAAATACACAAAAAAGGACAAAGACACAGGTATGGTTTTTTTAAAGAGTAAAAGACATTAACAGAACAAAGCAGTACTGTGGCTAAGAGAAAAATAAAAACTGATATAGATTTTATTCAATGTCCAAAATAAAAGACTAAAGAAGTTCTATGGTTACAGGATACTCTTTGTATTGTTATTACATTGCTGATGTTATAAAATGAAACAATAGTCATTTTAGACAATCCAGTATGAGCTTACTTGGAAAAATTTATTTCATGTTATGAGTGCTTCTGCCTGTCTGCCTGCTGACCATCTCTTTCCACATATTCCTGGATTCCCTTTGCAGCTTATTCTCCTTCAATGTCTAAGGACTACATATCCCATGGTACCTTGCTGTCTGCAAGCTGTGATTCCTGTACTGACTCCGCCTCCTGAAACTCCTCCTTGCAACTCCTCTGTCGTTCAGAAGGTAGGCTCTGTGAGATGTGTGACACAGCAGTGTCTAACCACAGGGCATAATGAATACGTCTCACAGAATTGAATAAGTAAACGTGTGGGGATTTTCACAAAGTTAGTTTCCAAACTTTAACAGTGTTCAGATTTATAATAATAGGCTAAAAATAATGGAAATACAATGTACAAAATATATGAATTTTGTAGAGAATATACAATTTTACATGTTGAACATAGATGCACGTCACCTTTAGAAGGGACAAAAATGTTGTAATTAATTGATGCGGACTACATATGCACAGTATGCTGCATCCATACATCTATCTATCTCATAAAGTATTCAGACCCCTTTCACTTTTTTAAATCTTGTTATGTTGCAGCCTTATACCACTGTGGTTTAAATTATTTTGTTTTCTCATTAAAGGGAAATGCCACCCAAAAGTTTAAGCTCTGCTTGTTTGCCTCCTCCTCCCCCCCCCCCCTTCGCTGGCACATTTGCCACCTTTTGGGGGAGCAGGGAGGAGTGGGTACCTGGTTTTGACAGGTACCTGCTCCCACTTCCGGCTCAGTTCACCGCATTCGCACTGCGGTCCATTCACAAAGCGCACTGCGTTTCACGCATGTGCAGTAGGAAACCGGCTGTGAAGCTGCAAGGCTTCACTGCCGGTTTACCTTAGCCAAGATTGCGGCACCAGCACCTGACTGAAGAATGGGCTCGGGGTGAGGACACCGCTGGATCCCTGGACAGGTAAGTGCCCTAATATTAAAAGTCTGCAGCTACAGCATTTGGAATTTTTTTTTTTAATGGGGGTGGGGGCCAGAACTTGGCTTCAATCTACACTCAGTACCCCTAATGACAAAGTGAAAACGGACTTTTAGAAATGCCATCCTTGTTTGCAAATCCTCCCAAGCTCAGTCAGACTGGATGAGGACTGTAGGTGGACAGCCATCTTGTCTCAAGAGATGTTCAGTAGGGTTCAAGTCAGGGCTCTGGCTGGGCCACTCTAGGGCATTCAGAGTTGTCCCTAAGCCATTCCTGTGTTATCTTGACTGTGTGCTTAGGATCGCTGTCATGTTGGAAAGTGAACCTTCAGCCCCGTCTGAGGTCTTCAGTGATATGGAACAGATTTTCAGTGAGGATATCGCTGTACTTTGCTCCACTCAGCTTTCCCTCAAACCAAACCAGTCTCCCAGTCCCTACTGATGAAAAACACCCCCACAGCATGATGTTGCCACCACAGTGCTTCACTATTGGGATTGTATTGGGCAGCTGATGAGCGATAAATGGTTTCCTCCAGAAATAACGTTTGGAATTGAGGCCAAACAGTCCAAACTTGGCTTCATCAGGTCAGAGAATCTTGCTCCTCACAGTCAAAGTCCTTCATGTGCTTTTTTTGCAAACTCCAAGAGAGCTTTCATATGTTTTTGCACTGAGGAGAGGCTTCTGTCTAGCCACTCTGCTATAAAGCTCAGATCAGTGGAGGAGTGCAGTGATGGTTGTCCTTCTGGAACTTTGTCCCTTCTCCACACAGGATCTCTGGAGCTCAGTCAGAGTGACCATCGGGTTCTTGGTCACCTTACTAAGGCCCTTCACCCCCAATTGCTCAGTCTGCCAAACTACTTCCATTTGAAAATGATGTAGGCCACTGTGCTCTTGGGAACCTTCGGCGCAGCAAATTTTTTTTGTAGCCTTCCCCCCGATCTGTGCCTAGCAATAATCCTTGCTATAAGCTCTGCAGGCAGTTTCTTTTGACCTCATGGATTTTGCTCTGATACAGTATTCATTGTCAGCTGTGAGGCCTTTTATAGAGAGATGTGTGTGCCTTTACAAATCATGTCCAATCAATTTAATTAAACACAGGTGGACTCCAATCAAGGTGTAGAAACATCTCAGCAACAATCAAGATAAATGGGAGGCACCTGAGCTAAATTTCAAGTGTCATTGCAAAGGGTTTGAATACTTATGCCATTGTGATATTTGAGTTTTTCCTTTTTCATACATTTGCAAACATTTCTAAATTTCACTTTTCACTGTCATTATGGGGTACTGAGTATAGATTAATCAGAAAAAAAAATGAATTCAAACAACTGTAGTATCGGCTGCAACATAACAAAATTGAAAAAAGTGAAGGGGGTCTGAATACTTTAGGAATGCACTGTATATATTTTATTACACAAAAGAAAATTTAGCATTTGTATAAGTAACAGATCGAGCAAGAAAAACATTGCACGTCTACAGATTTACTTCGAGCAAAGCCGTTGTAATGTGGATAAATCCCCCATCTGCTTCTTTGATGACTTAATTACTTAAACTGCATTGTTCAGCACAAAGTGCCAGTTCCAGCCAACACACACTTGCTATGCCAGCTTCTGAAATCCCCCCTCCCAATGGGACATAGTCTGCTTTTTAAGTAAAATCGTTCTTCACCTCACATTTCCATTAGCAGAAGCAGAACTGGTTAGAGGTAACATAATATATTCATGTTGCGTCCTGCCAGAGGACTTGTCCTAATGTAACGAACCTTGCAATAGGCTACAAATAGGACCTGCGTCAATTTAACCACACTCTCATTAATATGCAGCACTAGGGAAATGAATGCATTTAGTCACATAATTAGCACAGTCAACAAAGAACACGTTCAATCAATCCAAATTAAGCGATAATTATTACAAAACAACATTATTATGGATGCAGAGGTACAGTATGACGTGTGTAGCTTCATTCTCTGAATTAAAAACGGTTCTTATTTGCTCACATCCTACAGTAAATTATATTCTGAACACTATTGGAGTCATAGTCAATGAGTGTGTACACTCCAGACATAGAATCTAGTAATGATGGAGAAAAAGTACAAAATTTAGATTACACAACCAGTAGCTTATTAACGTGAGCCATCAAAACAGCTTGGAGAGCCATCTTTGACTCGTCACACTTTCGGTGAATTTATTTCTATCATACTCATAGGATTCTAAAAGGGATTTTTAGAACTTTAAACCATGTCTTGGTTTGCATCTGATAATTATCACCCTCATTTTTTCAGGTAACTCAAAAGCGCCTCCTATTGCTTCTGCCTGCACTCCCACCAACACATGAAAATAGAAAGGTCCTCTGATGTTCCCTTCAGCCATTTTAGTAGAGCACTAAAACATGCAGGGGGGAGACCTATTGTACTACAAAAGAATAGGATTTTTAAATATGTTCAGAAATATTATTTTATGAGACCTTGCAATGCAGTCCTTGGATTCTGCATGGTTCTCCAGCTTGTGGTGGACTACAGCTCCAACAGCAAGAGGCCCGGCATCCCCACAAAGAAAAGTGACTCTTCTTCCATTCAAGTTCCTCAAGACTCTTTTCACATAATCAAGAGAACGTTGCAAATAGGTTGGATCTTCTGGAGTGACACGGTACAACTGTAGGTACAACAGGGCTATGCCTGCGAAAAATAAAACAAAAATGTTTTGCAAAAAAAAAATATATAAATATGTGTATATATATACACATATATACACACACATACATATACACACACATAGAGATAGATAGATAGATAGATAGATAGATAGATAGATAGATAGATAGATAGATAGATAGATAGACACACACAGTGCTCCAGTGCTCGGCATAAATGAGTACACCCCAACAGATTTGTCAGAAAACCTTTACCGTCCTTTCAGAATCAACATTTTCTATGAAACGCTATACTACAAAATACTCCCGCAAATGCCGGCCATTGATTGTAAACAAGATTTGTTAATCTGCACACACACAAAAGTATATTTCCTAACAAATTTAATCAAGACCATGTTGCAAAAATGATTACACCACAATGAAAGTCTTAGGAGCAAAGCTAAACTTTAGACAACAAAATCCTAATTAACAAAAATTCAACTACTGTACAGGCGAGTCTGATTATTCATTAAACAGGTATTCAGCACGCAGTTTATTATAAAACCTCTTCCCGTTTCATGCGGTCAGCAATGGCACCACATGGAAGAGAAATGTCACAAGGCCTGAGAAAGAAAATAATTTCTTTACACAAGAAAGATGAAGGCTACAAGATAAGCAAAGTTTGCTTATCAGTCAGAATACTGTAGCAGAAGTGACACAATAATTTAACAAAGATGGAACTGCAACCATCTCACAGACACCTCCAGGCCATCCATGGAAGGTAACACTCGAAAGGAGCATCTTCTGATGAGAAGGGTTGAAGAAAATCTCCATGCAAGTTCACTGCAGTCAGCTAAAGAATTAGAAAGCCAAACTGGGGTGAATGTTTCCTGTGACACAATACAGCATACACTGCAGAGAAATGACATGGGTGTCATCCACGAAGGAAGTCTCTCCTAAAGCCCATGCACAAAAAAGCCAGCCTAGAATTTGCCAGGGTCCATGTTGAAAAAAAAGACTACTGGCACTCTGTACTCTGGAGCGATGAGAACAAGATAAATGTTTTTGGAACTGATAGCTTCAAAACTGTATGGCGTCACAAAGGTGAGGAGTACACAGAAAAATGCATGGTGCCTACAGTGAAACATGGTGGTGGCAGTGTCCTTCTGTGGGGCTGCATGAGTGCTCCTGGTGTGATCATTGCTATGATGATTTCGTAACACAAGAGGGGGCTATGACCGCTCTATTATGTAAGAGACATGGTATATAAGGAACGGAGAACTGTCCCCTCCCAGTTCTGACAAAGTCCGTGATGATTGGTGGACGAAACGCGTCAATGGAGTGACATCATCACATTCACGCATAATGTATGCCGAAGCCTCTATGCTGGGGATGACACATGTATATGCCTCCATGCTGGAAACCATATGGGTAACTGGAAATCAGAATATGGGGCACCATGCCTTTTGAGTATCTTCATCCTATATTTGATGATTTACAGTAGCAGCGCACAAGCTAAAGTTGGCTATCAGGAATAGCTTTGCACAGGAAAATGAAGCATGAACACCGCGGTATGGATCCCGGGCAGTGCATTGGCCGAAGGCTGCAGTAAGTGATCACTCTATATCCACTGCCATACTCTCGACTTGATTGCTATTTAACCTCTTCATGCTGGCCGAACGCAAATGTGCGGCCTCCCGGCGTCTGGGCCTAGACACCGAGCAGCTGCACATTTGCGTTCTACTAAAAAAAGGACATATGTGCCAAGAGCGCGCACCCTGCGCGCTCCCAGCACACATGTCCGATACTCACAAAGAGGTCCCGATCTCCTCTTTCGATCGGGACCTTTCCCGATCATGTGACCACCGTGACAGCGCGTCACCGCGGTAACATGACCCTGAACCCCACCCCGCCTCCTGGCTTCTGAAACTCTTAAAGGGCCAGGAGGCGCCGGTGTGAAGGGGTTAAACAACTATTTGCTATACTTATTACTTTGGACTTTTTACATCTCCAAGATACTCTTTGGGAGATCACTCCCTAATACTGAGCGGATGCTGTACATTTTTCACCATTGCTTTACTAGCATCAACCTTTATTTACCACAGATGACTCTGAAGTATTGATTCATATGTACAGCTGCTCCATTCTTTGAAGAGAGCAAGATCGGTGAAAACCTACATGGTGAGATATCTGTGAGCAATTCATGTTCAAGCTTCCTTGATTTACACATTATTGTGGATATCATTTACATGCCTGATGTTCATGTTTTCTCTGTGTGAAACCATAAATTATTTGGAATTAAGTGGATGCACTGAACTTTCATCTACATTGATTCAATCATTTCATTTACCACTGTTGATTTTGCAGGACTGATTGGATTGCCAACCTTGCTGTTTCACCATCGATTATTGGAGATCAATGGATGCCTTCAGTGGTGAGACAACTTCAATAACACTTTTCTAGTCATCACCGGATATTTATATGGAATTACATGCATGAAGATACATCATCTTGATCTGATCTTATGGGAACTTACTGATCTAGCTTATGCAGCAATCTATGTCCCAGCATTTTCACAGTTTATAATTATTGAATACCCTCACAGGGCTTTTTGCAATCTGGTTTCCCTAGCCAATTTGATGCTATTACAATATATAGCCTACGTGCATAGCATAGACGAATGTTTCTAACTACGTTGTCTTTTAACTGCTTACCTACAGGGCACTTATACCCCCTTCCTGCCACGGCCAATTTCCAGCTCTCAGCTCTGTCACACTTTGAATGACAATTGAGCGGTCATGCAACACTGTACACATATGAAATTTTTATCATTTTTTGTGACAGATAGAGCTTTCTTTTGGTGGTATTTAATCACCTCTGGGTTTTTTTTATTTTTTCTTAAACAAACCAAAAACCACTGAAAATTTAGAAAAAAAAAAAATGTTTTTTCTTGTTGTTATAAAATGTTGTAAATAAGTGATTTTTCTCCTTCACTGATGTGTGCTAATGAGGCTGTAGTGATGGGCACTGATAAGATGCACTGATGAGGAGGCACTGGTAGGTGGCACTGATGGGCATTGACAGGCATCACTGATGGGCAGCACTGATAGGCGGCACTGACTGGCACTGTTAGGCGACATTGACTGGCACTGTTAGGCGGCACTGATAGGTGGCACTGATGGGTGACACTGAAGGGCAGCTCAGATGGGCACTGATATGTGGCATTGATGTGCACTGGTAGGCACTGATATGTGGCATTGATGTGGCACTGATGGGCACTGGCACGTGGCACTGTTCAGCACTGACAGCTGGCACTGATGGACACTAACAGGTGGCACTTCTGGGGCCACACTGATCATCAGGGCACACTGATCATTAGTGCCCTGATGATCGGTGTACATGTCCCCTCTGAGGGATGCCGATTACCGGCTCTCCTCTTGAGCTGTCAGCGTGACAGCTCGAGAGGAGAGAAATGCCGATAAGCGGCATTTCCCTGTTTACATGTGATCAGCTGTGATTGGACGCAGCTGATCACATGACAGAGCCGACATCTTCAGCTCTTTTCGTGGAGCCATCAAAAGATGGCCTATCAGAGCTAGAGAACCACCTTGCGCCCATCATTGGACTATATGGCGGGCGGGAGGTGGTTAATGTTGTTTGGCTGTTTTGTATGTTCACTTTGTGAAGAGCTGATTCTTCATACAATCCTTGGGATCACACAAAATTATTTTTTGCATTCCCATTGATGCACTAATTACCCTGCCTAGGATTTTATAATACCGACTTTCTGTAGTTTGTTCTTGACAACTGCTTTTTTTCTGGTATAATTAATGTTCGGTTCATAATCCACACCTATATTGTTGGTGAGTCAAAGAAATATAATTGTAGGTTTTTGTACCTTTATCTGTGGCTTATGTTTTTGGTTAGCCATGCACAAAAAAGCCCGCCTAGAACTTGTCAGGGCCCATGCTGAAAAAGGAAGAAGACTACTGGCACAATACAGCATACACTACAGAGGAATGGCATGCACGGGTGTCATCCATGAAGGAAGCCTCTCCTAAAGCCCAAACACAAAAAATGACGCCTAGAATTTGCCAGGACCCATGCTGAAAAAGAAGACTACTGGAACTCTGTACTCTGGAATGAGGAGACCAAGATAAATGTTTTTGGAGCTTATGGCTTCAAAACTGTATGGTGTCACAAAGGTGAGGAGTACAAAGAAAAATGTATGGTGCCTACAGTGAAACATGGTGGTGGCAGTGTCCTTCTGTGGGGCTGCATGAGTGCTGCTGGTGTCAGGGAGCTGCATTTCATTGATGGTATCATGAATTCACAGATGTACTGCTCTATATTGAAAGAGAAGATGCTACCATCACTCCGTGCCCTTGGTCGTCATGTACTTTTCCAACATGACAATGATCCAAAACATACACCTAAGACCACTGTTGCATTTCTGAAGAAGAACAGAGTGAAAGTGATTCAGTGGCCATGTATGCCTCCTGATCTGAACCCAATCAAACACCTATGGGGAATTCTGAAGAGACAAGTTGAGTATCACTCTCCATCCAGCATCCAGGCTCTAAAAGTGGTCATTCCTGAAGAATGTAAAAAGATAGATGTTGCAATATGTCGCCAACTTGTTCATTCTATGCCTAGAAGACTTGGTGCTGTCCTTACAAATCATGGAGGTCATACAAAATACTAGATGGAGTAGTTTTTGTTGTGGGGTGTATTCATTTTTGCATCAACTAATTTGAGTAAAACTGAAGATTTTGTAATCTAAGTTATATTATTAACCTTATTTTCATGTAATGAGCTAAACAAATGTTCTATAAAACTCAGTGTTTTTTTGGGAAAATTTTGGAAATTGTTCTTGTGTTTATTGAGATATTTATTTAAAATCTTACTTTTCAAAAGGGGTGTACTCATCTATGCTGACACACTGTGTATTTATATGCATACATATATAAACACACACAGTAGTATCAAAACGTTTCAAGACTAGTTGTGTAATGCGCCAACAGATGGCAGCGCAAGGCTGCACGCATAGTCACAGGGGGCACCAATCTTCATAAGTCAGTGTGCCAAAAGACAGCATCCTGTGTACATTGGGAGCTGTGCAACTGGTTCTATTCTGACCATGTGCGTTACCACATCTGTTATTTCATCATGGACAGAAAGTTAAAACACAGAGAAAACATTAAATTCTGCGCATTAAAGTCTGATCAAAATGTACTGCAGCTGTGATTTGCAGTGGGTGTTAATTTTAAGTTAATGACACCCCAAACGCAAGTTGCAAATGCAATGTGTTTGGTTGCTCCAGATTAATGGGCTCAAATCACACCACACTGAACCACAAGTGAATCCTAGTGTGAACCAGTCCTCAATCTACAGAACCCATTTGGAATATTTCCAAGACAGTGCAAACCTTACGAAGATACCTGAAGTAGACCTAAAATAATGCTAATCTAGAAAACCCACTTGGAGTATATTCTAGAAAATACTAATATAGAGCACCCGTCTGGAGTATATACTAGACAACATAATCAGAACAAATCTAAAGTATATCCAAAACAGTGCTAACCTGGAAGCTTCATCTAGATCAGAGGTAGGTAACTTTACAGAGGAGGAGAACAACCTAAACAACATGGGAGAAGTCAAAGATTACCGGGCACAGTGTCACCTCCTCACTCCTGATTTAAATCTCTAATTGCCATACTACTGTGCCATTACAGAGCAATCCTGGGTTTAAATCAGGTGGTGAGGAGGCTACATATCGCCTCCTTACCAACTGTCAACACACACTCGGATCACTTTTCATAGGAGCAGCAGTGCGTGCTGCACTTGTGAATTAGCTCTTAGTTGCATTTGGCAGCGACACCCTTAGGGCTTGTTCACACGCTGAAGGTAGTAAAACCCTGTGGTTGAGTCGCAGTTTTTACTGCCCCAATCCCTACCCCCCTTTAGCTACTGAGGCAACAGCCAAAGGTGAACACATACCACAGAGGGAATTAAACCCCCCTGTTGCATTTGGTGCGTGTTACCCCATGCTGGCTGCGACCCTTTTAAGTAAATAGGGCCACTCTGCAAGCACCCTGCAACTGCATGCTTCTGTGGGGTCCAAGGGGTTAAAGCAGGTGGTTAGAAAGCAATACAATGCTGCCTGCTTTAACACCTCGGTTGCTGTACTGCACAATGTTGAAGGGCACTTGTAGAGCGGCCTCATTCACTTTAATGGGTCATGCTTGGCAGATGCTACACCCACCAAACATGACAGGGCGTATAACTTCTGCTGCAGCTGTGATGTGTGTGCACCTCTGGCCACTGCAGCTAAAGGGGGTGCCATTGAGACGGGGGTTGTAAAAACACAACTATGGGGTTTTACCACCCCCCAAACAGCAACTGTAAATGAACACTTACTGTTCTGGGCTCCCTATAATGCTGCTTTCACACTGATGTGCTGTGGTTTACCTGCACCACGGGTGCAGCGCAGTGTATCTGGGACTTTCCTGGGTTAGCTGCGCTTTGCCATAGACTTCTATCATATCCTGCAGGTATGGTGCATTTTCCTGCATTCAGGAGTTTTATTGCGCTTTCAGAAAGTACACCAAACCCACAGGATATAATAGAAGTCTATGGCTAAGCACAGCTAACCCACAGGAAAACTGCACTGCAGTGCCCCCGTGGTGTGGGTAAACCGCAGAGTATCAATGTGAAAGCAGCCCTATTCTATTATGCCCAGTGTATTGCTTCACACTGACCTCAAGATCTCTTCTTTCCTGCTGCTGGCACCACTCTGTTCACTGCTAGCCGGGATAAGAGGTGGAGTGCAGTTGGTATGACTCTGCATGGGACAGGAGCCAGCACTACAGAGGAGGCATCGGCTTATGCAGCTCTTGTTCCCTACTATAGCTTCAACTCTAATGCTCTAGGATGGCGGGTCAGCAAGTCCAGACTATCATCTACCAGTCACCTGCTCGTAATCTACTGGTAAATCAACCCCGATCTAGAGTTTATCCAAGACACTGCTAACCTAGAAAACCCACCGGGTGTATATCCAAGAGATTGACAACCTAAAAACTCATCTGCAGCATATCCAGAACAGTACTAATCTAGAGAACTGATCTGGACTATATCCAGTACATTACTAACCTCATGTGAAGTACTAACAGGTGGGTAATACTTTAGGGCTAATCTCCAAACTGCGGCCTGCAGGCCAGAAGTGGCCCTTTTTCCATTCCTTGATGTAGCATTCCATCCACTGACACCAATGATGGATCACCATTCCTCCCACTGACAGGGCACCTTTCCTCCCACTGACACCAATGATGAAAATTGTTTACCCCACTGATGCCAGGGCATTTTCTAATCCCACTTGCCACAGTGTGACCCCCATAAAGCCAGGACAGTTAACTGGCCCATTGCTTAGAAAGTTCAGAGACCACTTGGAGGATATCCAAGAAAGTAATAACATAGAGAACCCCCCTAGAGTATATCCAAGAAAGGTTTAACCTAGAAAACCCACCTAGGGTACATTCAGGACAGAGCTAATCTAGAGAACGCACCTGGAGCATATACAAGATGACACTACTATAGAGTAATTGTCCAGAGTATATCCAAGACAGTAAAAACCTAAAGAACCCACCCGTGTATCCTGTGTAAGCAGAAACATCATGTGGGTCTGCTGTCTTTAGTCCTTCTTCCATTTGCTGAAGCAAGTCACTGATTTTTGACTGGATGCGTCTTGCAAATCTTCCTGTAATCTGTTTGAGAATAGAGTACAAAATCTTTATAAAAATCCATGCAGATAATTCCAGAATGTGGCTAAATCATAAGTAAGACAAGCCCCACATTTGAGAATAGATACAGTATATGACTGATGTTCACCCATATAAAGAACAATAGAATAGAAACCCAATTATTATGAAGTACATAAAAATCCTGCAATAAACTCACCCTACTAAATAGATGTGAAAGCAAAACTTGTGCCAACAATAACAAGATAAAATGAATAGTCCATTAAAAGATAAAATAAAAAAGCAGCTATGCTGTAATATTCATCTTCAGCCCAGAGCCGTAACCTGCAGGACTTCTTTTCCGCCAAAAGATTTCCTAATTCTGATAGCGAATATCATTCTACCCAGCTCCTCTGAGCCCAGGCTGTCCTGGACCCACCCCCGCCTGTGAATGGACAGTGAAAGGAGAAGCAGCACAGTAATGAGATCAGCTGTCACTTTGCTTTTTCCTTTTATTTGCACACCTAATGTCAGCACATAAAATGACTAGCTTTGTGTGCCGCTTTTTACAGTTGCAAGAAAAAGTATGTGAACCCCTTGGGATTACGTGGAGTTTTGCATGAATTGGGCATAAAATGTGCTCTGAACGTCATCTAAGTCACAACAATAGAAGAACACAGTCTGCTGAACATAATACTACACAAACATTAGATGTTGCCATGGTTTAATTGCACATAACATGTAAACATTCACAGTGCAGGGAGGAAAAAGTATGTGAGGTCCTAGCTTAATGACTTCTCCCAGAGCTAATTGGAGCCAGGAGTGAGCCAACCTTGACTCCAATCAGTGTGATGATATTGGATGTGTTGCTGACAGCTGTCCTGCCCTTAAAAAACACACACCTGTTTTGGGTTTACTGGTTTCAAGAAGCACTGTCTGATGTGAACCATGCCTCGCAGAAAAGAGCTCTCAGAAGACCTCCGATCAAGAATTGTTGACTTGCATGAAGCTGGAAAGGGTTACAAAAGTATCTCCAAAAGCCGCGATCCGGTGCCTGTTGTGTCCTCCGGGCACAGTGAAACACTGAGCGTTGTACGTGACCTCTGGACGAGGTCCCGATCTTATGATCACTGATTGGTCCGACTGATTGTCACTTCTGCCATCATTGCTTACTGTGTGTGAAATCTGTGAATGATCACAGAGGTCACATGGTACAAGGCTATTCACAACAGCCTTGTACCATGTGACAAGCTGTGACCAATCACAGCTCACATAGTAGTTCTCAATGGCTGCAAGAATGCAGCCAGAGAGAAAGAGAAATGATTGCTTTTACAGCCTTTATGGGTGTAAAAGCAATCTGTGAAAAAAAGAAAAAAAAATCATCACCCCCAACAAGTAGTACAGTATCACCATGGTGACACTGTACTGCTAGGGTGACAGTATGTAAAAACAAAAAAAAAAAAAAAACCCCATAAATAATATAAAAAAAAAATAAAAATGTAAAAAAAAAAGTTTAAAAATTATAATTTTTGGTTATAAACTAATTTGGGTTATTTTTTTTTTTTTTTTACTAAAAAGATAACGGAATAAATTTTGGCCAAGATTTATGATGAAATATTATTTATTTGCAAAATTTTATAAGAAAGACACCTTTTTTTTTCAAACTTTTTGGACTTTTTCATTTACATAGCAAAAAAAATAAAAATCCCAGTGGTGAATAAATACCACCAAAATAAAGCTTTATCTGTCTCAAAAAAATACTAAAAAATTCATATGGGTACAGTGTTGCATGACCGCGCAATTGTCATTCAAAGTGTGATAGTGCTGAAAGCAGAAAATTGGCCTGGATAGGAAGGGGGTAAAAGTGTCCGGACTTGAAGTGGTTAAAAATACATTTATGTAAGAATGATTAATATGGGCCTTTATTATCAGACTAGAGTTCAGCTTTAAAGAGACACATTTCACTTGATAGTTATTAGAAGATGAAGGGTCACCCTCTGCTCCCTGGATATGCTATACCTGAAGAAAGTGCCAGGCATAAGAAGAGAGAAATAACATGGCCAGGCTGTGCATACCACTGTACACCGTCTTAAGTCTTCACAGTAGACTTTACAATGTATGCATGTCACTTGTGAACCAGATTTTATTACACCAGCTACAGTAGACTATATATAATGCACAATACTTCAGTACTTTTACAGTCATAAACCTGGAACACCAATGTCCATAATGAGGTAAGGATCAGGGATTCATAATATAGCGCATCATTATTTCTTTTTCCACAAAATGTTGGGTGCCAGAATTTTCAATATACAGTGAAGGAAATAAGTATTTGATCCACAGCTGATTTTGAATGTTTGCCCACTCACAAAGAAATGATCAGCCTAAAAATCGAATGGTAGGTGTATTGTACCACTGAGAGACAGAGCAGTAACACAAAATTCAAAGAAATGCATGTCTTACAAATTATGCACTGATTTGCATGTTCATGAGGGAAATAAGTATTTGATCCCCTATCTTTCAGCAGGATTTCTGGCTACCAGGTGTCTTTCATACAGGTAACAAGCTGAGATTAGAAGCAGTCTCTTAAAAGGAGTGCTGCTAATCTCATTTTGTTACCTGTATAAAAGACACCTGTCCACAGAAGCAATCAAACAGACTCCAAATTCTCCACCATGGCAAAGACCAAAGAACTGTCCAAGGATGTCAGGAACAAGATTGTAGACCTACACAAGGCTGGACTGGGCTACCAAACTATCACCAAGCAGCTTGGTGTGAAGGTGACAACAGTTGGTGCAATCATTCGCAAATGGAAGAAACACAAAACAACTGTCCGTCTCCCTAGGTCTGGTGCACCATGCAAGATCTCACCTCGTGGAATGTCAATGATCATGAGAACAGTGAGGAATCATCCCAGAACTACACATGAGGATCTTGTCAATGATCTCCAGGCAGCTGGGACCACAGTCACCAAGAAAACAATTGGTAACACACACTACGTAGTTGAGGCCCAATTGTCAGCATAACAGTACCGATTTGGATGATAATTATTAGATTAGGTTTATGGAGTAGGTTAAACCTAAGGCTGGCCATGCAATATACAATTTTTGCTTAGATTTACCAAAATCATATAATGTGAGGTCAAACCTAAATGCTTTCAATTTGTATGTAATCAGGCAGGTCCTTACACTCGATAGCTGAAGGTACATCTAAAGGAAATTGAACAAGAAAAGTGTACAAAGTATGGCCAGCTTAAGGTTACTGTAGGTTGAGTTAACCACTTAAGCTCTGTCCTATAGCAGTTTTAATGCTACAGGGTGGAGCGTGAATAAAGGAACATCAATACTCAATACGGCAGGTACTTCCACAGCAAATGAACAAAGAACACAAGCAGAAAAGGCGCAGTTCAGAGTTGCTCCATTCCCCTGACGATGCTTATTGGAAGCGAAACGTGTTGAGTGGGGCCTAGCTGGTGACATCATCACACCCGCCATGTCTCAAAGTGCGGCTTTCTCTGCTTGTGTTCTCTGTTCATTTGCTGTGTAAGTACCTCCCTTACTGAGGACCCGGTTTGGAGGTATAACACCATGCTGACCCCCTTTAATTTTTTGGAGAAAGACTTCACTGTATTTGACTCGCTGTTAACCGTTTGAGTCTTGTTGGCTGGAGGTCCGGTGGATTGCGTGGGAGGAAGCAGGCTGTGTACAGAGGCTTACTTACATTGAGTGCATGTTGATCTCTATTGGTACAGGAAATCAATACCATTTGGTAAGAGGCTGAGTGTTTCATAGTGAAGGATTCACATGGAGATACACTTACCTGCTGATTATCCTTTGCACTTATTGGATAAAATCTGCATGGTCTTATGAACTTGCAAAACTTCATCATTTATTAATTTTTGTGTGATAAATTGACTGATCACCTTTTTATGTTATGTATTTATTGATATATGTTGGGTTTTCATTCATTTGTTGTGATTTCATGTCATGTTCACACATGTACTTGCACTTTATGATACTGGAGGAGAATATTTATGAATTTTATTAAGGAAGCGCATCTATTTATCTAAAGAATTTGCTCAGGTTTGTATTTAGACGCTTAGGGTGCTGCATCCTATTATACGTTAAAAGCAAAAGTATTTTTTGTATATACACAGTTTTAAAAAAAAAATAAAAATAAAGGATTATTACCTGTTTTGCTCCCATGCAGCCAATCTTCGCTGTCTGGAAAAGCTAAGCTTGCTGAAGGATTTTTCACATCCTATATGCCTTTGGCTGTGCGGAAGCTTGGTCATTTACTAAGCAAGGTGGTTCCTTCCTCTGGTCCTACTTCACTACTATGTCTTGTAGTAACATAGGCAGGCCATAGACGGGCCGTTTATCGGCTAAATTTTTGGACGAAAAACAAAAAAAAAATCGGTCGGCCCCGTTGCCGATGCTGCCACCAATGTCCACGAAAAACGGCATTTTTTTGTGGATTTTCCAGCATGACCAATATAAAAATAAATGACCAATGAAAAATAACCGAAGGAGAAGATCCGTGAAAAACGGCCAACGGGGCTGGCCCCACTAACGGCATGAATATCGGCTGATTTTTCCAGCGGATTGTGCTAAAATTCGGCCAATCAAATACCGGTCTATGGCCTGCAAGGGTGGGGGGAGTATTTTTTTATACAGGTACAAGGATACAGCTTTACAGAGCTCAGTTTTTTGAGTCCTGTTTGGGTTTTTTTGGGGGGGGCGCTGAAAATGCACTAAAAAGGCAGTATGTGGATTAAAGCGGAGCTCCAGTCTGTAGCTGAGGTGTGGGATTGGGAGAACTTCCGCTTCTGATCATCGAGGCCACAGATGTCAAACAGAAGGGTCAAGGGCCAAATCCAGCCCTCCAGGCCATTTCATTTGGCCCTCAGCTGTGGCACCCCGCTCATCTCAGAAATCAGTAGAAGAGAGGAATACAGAACTCCTCCGCCAGATGCTGCACTTCTCCATGCAGCTGTGGAGAGGCTCATCTCTGCAACCCCCCACCCCAGGTCTCAGCAGTTGGCAGCAGAGAGGAGAACAGAACTCCTCCTACAGATCCTGCACCTCTCTATGCAGCCACAGCACCCCCTTGTAGCCAACTCCCCTGGCCTCAGCATTCAGTTGACTCCAGCCTTCCTCTGGTCCTCCTCCAGACTCTGCACATTCTGCTTCCCAGCTCTGCCTCCAGCAGGTAAGGGGAGGTGTGCTGTGATGTAAGGGAGGGTGAGGTGCTCAGGACATCTAGCTTTACAGATATATCCGGCCCTTTGAGGGCAACCATAATGCTGATGTGGCCCGCCATGAAATTGAGTTCGACACCCCTGGCCTAGGAAGTGGCTGAGAGTACCTGTCAAAATCGGGTACCCACTTCCCAAAGGTGTCAATCCTTAGCAGGAAGTGGGGGGTGAGGCCTTAAAGCGGAGCTTCCCCTTTCGGGTGCACTTTGAGTCACATGACCATGACCTACCATGCGGGAAGGAAAATTTAAAAAAAAAGAGCAAAAGAAGGAAAAATGTAAAGTGTCAATAAATGCATATTGGTCCCCAGATTAAAACACTGCAAATAAAAGCTCAGAAAATCAATCTACTTTAAAGGATTTCTTGCAGCAGGTTTCCTTTTCGTAAAGGATTTTTTATTGATTTGCAAAGAGCTTCTGACTTTGCTAGACTGGCCATTCGTGGTTAGTTTTGTTTTTTTCTCACTTAGAGCCCCCCCACCACATCATCCCTGTGACAGCAGTATGGGGAGAAATTCACAAAACACATAAGAAGACAGCACAGGCAATACTCTGTAGGAAACAAGTCAAAGATCCTTTTTATAAATGGTATTTGATGAGCAATTCTACTCAAGTGACTTTTAATCTCTGTGTACTGTGATGATCTGTTCTCAATTGCTGGAGATCACTGTTCAAATACTCAGGAGCCGAGGACAATTATTCTGATTCAGAGAGTTTCATCGGATAGAAGAGTCATACCTCATCCCAGGAGATTGGAGGAGGATTTTTTTTTTTGGCCATTCTTTTTCAGCTGGGCTGTGAAAACACAGCACCCAGAAATGCACAGGAATCACCCAAGAACGCAGGCGTTCCCATACGATCCTAGTGTGAACCGGCCCTTACAGATCAATGACAGGCTCCCCATGCAGGAGCTAGACACAGACAGTTGTTATCCAGGGATGCTCCTCCATCCCTAGTCACATGTAATCATGAGACACCACATACAAAAGCTGCAGAGAGTGACAGCCTGTCATTGATCTGTACAGGATTCCTGTAGAAATACACTGATCTGGGTGGGGTGTGGACAAGAAGGCAGTGTGATTGAACCCTAAACAATATCTTCCTTTTCTGGTTTGTGTAAGCACCAAAACACCCTGCTGTCTGCAGGGGCCCCGAAGGGCCACGCAGGCTGGGTTCATACCTGAGCAGCCACAAAAAGTTTACAGGCAACTACAGCCGAGCTCTCTCCCCCATGCATATATATATATATATATATATATATATATATATATATACACACACACACACACACACACACACACACACACACACACACACTGACACTGCTCCAAAAAATTAAAGGAATACTTTGAAAACACATCAGATCTCAATGGGGAAAAATATCATGCTGGATATCTATACTGATATGGACTGGGTAATGTGTTAGGAACGTAAGGATGCCCCATCGTTTGATGGAAATGAAAATTATCAACCTACAGAGGACTGGATTCAAAGACACCCGAAAATCAAAGTGAAAAAATGATGCAGCAGGCTAGTCCACTTTGCTGAAATTTCATTGCAGCAACTCAAAATGGTCCTCAGTAGTTTGTATGGCTCCCATGTGCTTGTATGCATGCCTGACAACGTCGGGACATGCTTCTAATGAGACGATAGAGGGTGTCCTGGGGTATTTCCTCCCAGATCTGGACCAGAGCATCACTGAGCTCCTGGACAGTCTGAGGTGCGACCTTGCAGCGTCGGATGGACCGGAACATGATATCCCAGAGGTGTTCTATTGGCTTTAGGTCAGGCGAGTATGGGGGCCATTCAATGGTATCAACTCCTTCATCCTCCAGGAACTGCCTGCATACTCTTACCACATGAGGCTGGGCATTGTCGTGCACCAGGAGGAACCCAGGACCTACTGCACCAGAGTAGGGTCTGACAGTGAGTCCAAGGATTGCATGCCAATACCTAATGACAGTCAGGATGCCATTGTCTAGCCTGTAGAGGTCTGTGCGTCCCTCCATGGATATGCCTCCCCAGACCATCACTGACCCACCACCAAAACAGTCATGCTGAACGATGTTACAGGCAACATAACGTTCTCCATGACTTCTCCAGACCTTGTCACATGTACTCAGGTGAACCTGCTTTCACCTATGAAAAGCACAGGATGCAAGTGGCAGACCCGCCAATCCTGGTGTTCAATGACAAATGCCAATCAAACTCTATAGTGCCGGGCAGTGAGCACAGGGCCCACTAGAGGACGTCAGGCCCTCAGGCCACACTCATGAAGTCTGCTTCTGATTGGTCAGAGACATTCACACCAGTGGCCTGCTGGAGGTCAGTTCGTAGGGCTCTGGCAGTGCTCATCCTGTCCCTCCTTGCACAAAGGAGCAGATACCAGTCCTGCTGAGGGGTTAGGGACCTTCTACAGCCCTGTCCAGCTCTCCTAGAGTAACTGTCTGTCTCTTGGAATCTCATTCATGCTCCTGAGACTGTGCTGGGAGACACAGCAAACCTTCTGGCAATGGCATGTATTGATGTGCCATCCTGGAGGAGTTGGTCTGCCTGTGCAACCTCTGTAGGGTCCAGGTATCGTCTCATGCTACCAGTAGTGACACTGACCCTAGCCAAATGCAAAACTACTGGAAAACAGTCAGAAAAGATGAGTAGGGAATAAAATGTCAGTGTCCTCCACCTGTAAAACCATTCCTGTTTTGGGGGTCGTCTCATTGTTGCCCATCTAGTGCACCTGTTATTAATTTCATTAACACCAAAGCAGCTGAAACTGATTAACAACCCCCTCTGCTACCTAACTGACCAGATCAATATCACAGGAGTTTAATTGACTTGATGCTTTAGTCTGCAAAATAAAAAAGTGTTTCTTGAGCAGTGTATATCTATATATATATAACTGCAACTACGCAGGAAAACAAAAGTTTTTTTTTTATAAAAAAAAAAAAGAGCACATGCATAGAACATTGTGCGTGTGTGTGTGTGGGGGGGAATTGAGCAAGTGCATCTGCTCCAGAGCTCAGTAAATGAGCAGAATCTATGCTGACTTCCATCAGCCAATCATATACATAAGCGAAAATGCTGTTTTTTTTATTTTCCTTGCACCCAATTGGGTGTTCTATGCAAAGTAAAGCTTTACCACATTCACAAAGCTCTGGGGGAAATTAGTACAACTTCACTTGCAAAGTGTACAGTCTATTTGCCTTCAGTAAATCAACTTCCATTTCCATCAAGCTGAACTTTTACATCTATTTATTAAACATTTGTTGTGCAAATGTCAGAAATATTCCACTGAAGGAAATAACAGTATAATGTTTGTAAGAGATGAATTCCTTATCATCGGCTCCATCTAGTGGCCAAAATGCAGGATCATTTCTCCTGGAGGGATTTCAGACCATTATATCGCATTTTGGCCACTAGATGGCGCTATGATACAGGAACCCCCTATTTACATCAAGTTGAACTTTTAGCTCTATTTATAAATCATTGAAACCAGGAACGTCCGAACCTTGTAAACAATGCCCCATCATTTTACCAGGAGGAATCGTGCCCAGCGGCTGGAATTAATTTGAGGAGTAGTGCCCCGCTAGTGGCCTCAGTGGGAGCAGTGGTGCCCCGCTAGTGGCCTCAGTGGGAGCAGTGGTGCCCCGCTAGTGGCCTCAGTGGGAGCAGTGGTGCCCCGCTAGTGGCCTCAGTGGGAGCAGTGGTGCCCCGCTAGTGGCCTCAGTGGGAGCAGTGGTGCCCCGCTAGTGGCCTCAGTGGGAGCAGTGGTGCCTTGCTAGTGGCCTCAGTGGGAGCAGTGGTGCCCCGCTAGTGGCCTCAGTGGGAGCAGTAGTGGGAGCATAGTGGCCTCAGTGGGTCAGAGGAATAGTGGCCATCATTGGGAGGAGTAGTGGCCCGTTAGTGGCGTCAGTGGGGGGAGTAGTGCCCCATCATTGCTATCAGTGGGAGGAATAGTGCCCATCATTAGTGTCAGTGGGAGAAATAGTGCCCCATCATTAGTGTCAGTGGGAGGAATAGTGCCCTATCACTGGTATCAGTGGGAGGAATAGTGCTACATCATTGGTGTCAGTGGGGGGGAGGAATAGTGCCCCATCATTGGTATCAGTGGGAGGAATAGTGCCTCATCATTGGTATCAGTGGGAGGAATAGTGCCCCATCATTGCTATCAGTGGGAGGAATAGTGCCCCATCATTGCTATCAGTGGGAGGAATAGTGTCCCATCATTGCTATCAGTGGGAGGAATAGTGCCCCTCCATCATTGGTGTCAGGGGGAGGAATAGTGCCCCATCATTAGTGTCAGTGGGGAGGAATAGTGCCCCATCATCAGTGGGGTATCAGTGGGAGGAATAGTGTCCCATCATTGGTATCAGTGGGAGGAATAGTGTCCCATCATCATTGGTATCAGTGGGAGGAATAGTGTCCCATCATTGGTATCAGTGGGAGGAATAGTGCCCCATCATTGGTGTTGGCCCCATCATTGTGTCAGTGGGAGGAATAGTGCCCCATCATTGGTGTCAGTGGGGGGGAGGAATAGTGCCCCATCATTGGTGTCAGCGGGAGGAATAGTGCCCCATCATTGGTGTCAGCGGGGAGGAATAGTGCCCCATCATTGGTGTCAGTGGGAGGAATAGTGCCCCATCATTGGTATCAGTGGGAGGAATAGTGCCCCATCATTGGTATCAGTGCCCCATCATTGGGGAGGAATAGTGCCCCATCATTGGTGTCAGTGGGAGGAATAGTGCCCCATCATTGCCCCATCATTGGTATCAGTGGGAGGAATAGTGCCCCATGGGCTGGGTAGAGGCAATCAAATGGCTGCATGTGGCCCCTGGTCCACCGTTTGGAGACCCCTGATGTAAGCCATGGATTTATAAACGTTTGTCAGAAGCATCCATGCAGGCTGAATGTACTCACACCATCATTTATATAAGAGATGAATTCCTGTATCATCATCTCCATCTAGTGGCCAAAACGCAGGATCATTTCTCCAGGAGGGATTGCAGGCCATTATACTGCATTTGTCCACTAGATGGAGCTGAAGATACAGGAACCCCTCTCCTATATAAATGTGGGTGACAACTCGCTCAGCCTCCAGGAATATTTCTGTCATTTGTATAACGACTGTAGACCCCGTAACCCCCCAACACACGGTACAATCTTACTTACCAACCACTATGTAGTATTAAAATCCAAAGTTATCAGATTTGGTAGGTTGTCATATAAAGCTGACCATACACAATATATCTGTACATTCTCCCTTAAGCTCACCACACACATTGCAATCGGATTGTACATAACGTTTCAGGCCTACCAACCACCTTGTCGTACAGGATCCCTCTCTGATTGGACAGTTCAGGCCCTCATATTACATAGTTGTCATAAGTTGAATGTAGAGAAATTGTACAATCAGATTGTACTGTGTATGATGGCCCTTAGACTCACCAAACCAATGCAATCTGAGGACAGACAGAAACGGTTTGTTGCATTTGTAGCATGTCAGGCAGGCCCTGTCAATGGCAGATCTAATGGTGGCCATACACAGAACAATTTTGATACAATTTTTAATAGATTTAGTGCCTGAATGGAAATACAAACGGAAGATCGTGCCATAAACGTAATGATCAGATCAAATTTTCTATTTTTCTACAATTGGATTCCACGCCCGGACTGATCAGAACAATTCCAATTAAATGACTTCAGCTAAAAATTGATTGAGGACTCGATAACGTGTCCTTTTCGAAAATTGATAGAACTGATGATATGATCCCATTCTGTGAAGAATCTTCAATCAGATCCTTATGTGTATGACCCCCATAAAGGAGTCTGTACAATCAGATTGTACAGTGTGTGGTCACCTTAACATAGTCTCGGAAAATTGAAAGTTGCTTGTACAATCAGATTGTAACCGTATGGTGCCCTGATGGTGGTCAGACACACTTTGATTTTATTATCTAAACGATGTGCGATTCGATCAAAATGATCAGCTGACAGTTGAATAGGTGTGACTTCCCGTCTGACTGTTTCAGATTGGAATTCAATTGTATGGAGTTGATTGACTGGGAATGGAAAACGATCGATTGTGTTGCATGGATCGGCTTTGTTCATGGATTCGATTGTATTTGGATCATCAGATGTGATCAATAACCAACGACTGCACCTTCCAACTATACAGTGAGATCCACTTCCCTGGGTGTGTTATCTCGATCACACGGGTTGTCGGCTACAGATCGATTATTCCTACCCGGAGAGATTGATTGGAAAAGTGTGCATGGCCACTATAGGGCTCCCCATACACGGTACAATCTGACTGTACAATCTATGTCGTGATGATGAGCTGGGACTTGTCCAGAGTAGGATGTGAGCTCTCATGTGACAGCTGTCAGCTGTACTGACCAATCATCTGTGGCCAGGACAATCCCGCCCCCATGTACACACCCCTTATATAGAACAGCTGTGGGCGGGGATTGTCCTGGCCACAGATGATTGGTCAGTAAAGCTGACAGCTGTTCTATACAAGGGGTGTGTACATGGGGGTGGGGATTGTCCTGGCCACAGATGATTGGTCTATACAGCTGTTCTATACAAGGGGTGTGTACATGGGGGCGGGGATTGTCCTGGCCACAAATGATTGGTCTGTAAAGCTGACAGCTGTTCTATACAAGGGGTGTGTACATGTGGGCGGGGATTGTCCTGGCCACATTGGTCTATAAGCTGACAGCTGTTCTATACAAGGGGTGTGTGGGGGTGGGGATTGTCCTGGCCACAAATGATTAGTCAGTACAGCTGACAGCTGTTCTATTCTATGGGCGGGGATTGTCCTGGCCACAGGATTGTGTACAGCTGACAGCTGGGCAAGGGGGTGATGGGGGTGGGGATTGTCCTGGCCACAAATGATTGGTCTGTAAAGCTGACAGCTGTTCTATACAAGGGGTGTGTACATGTGGGCGGGGATTGTCCTGGCCACAGATGATTGGTCAGTAAAGCTGACAGCTGTTCTATACAAGGGGTGTGTACATGTGGGCGGGGATTGTCCTGGCCACAGATGATTGGTCTGTACAGCTGACAGCTGTCACATGAGAGCTCACATCCCACTCTGGACAAGTCCCGACTCGTCACTACAAACTGTACAATCAACCCTCGACCTAAGTCATAGAAGGACCTACTGACACCAACCAATCAGGCAGACCACATGCTGGATGGACCATATAAAAGCGATTGTACAATCAGATGTTAGGTGTATGGTCAGCCTCACGCTCATCACATCTGTCACATGGTACAATCTCCTGTAGATTTCCCAAAAATATACAATAGGAAGGCAAATCCAAGAGGCTGGTTAATCTTAGGATCACTATACACATTACGATCTGATTGTACAATCAACATTACATGTACCAAAACTATGGTGGCTCTAAAGGAGATTGTACAATCAATCGCATTGTATATGTATGCTCAGTTTCTTAGGGATTGTACAATTAGGTTGTAAAGTATATGGTAAGTTTGTAAGTCTAAGAGATTGTTCTTTCAATCGTTCTCATAGATCGTGCAAGCAGATTGCATGGTGTATGGTCAGTTTCTCATGGATCGTACAATCGGATCGTACAAGAGATCGTATGGTGTATGCTTGGTTTCTCAGGGATCGTACAATCAGATCGCATGGTGTATGCTCGGTTTCTCAGGGATCGTACAATCAGATTGCATGGTGTATGCTCGGTTTCTCAGGGATCGTACAATCAGATTGCATGGTGTATGCTCGGTTTCTCAGGGATCGTACAATCAGATCGCATGGTGTATGCTCGGTTTCTCAGGGATCGTACAATCAGATCGTATGGTGTATGCTCGGTTTTTCAGGGATCGTACAATCAGATCGCATGGTGTATGCTCGGTTTCATAGATCGTACCTTGGCATCTTTGTCGAAGGGCATGTCTATGTCCCCGTCGCCCTCCCCCATGTCGGCCCCCGTGGCTCTGTAGTCCGGGAAGGGGTTGCTGAACACTCGCTCCTCCATCTCCGCCTCCCCGCCGAGCTGCAGCCGAAGTCTCTTGGACATCCCTTCCCCCATTGCCTACGGAGCGCCGGAGAGGACAAAACACCTGAGTCCCGCTACTCCGATGTCAGCTGTCGGCTCACTCAGCGGCTCCCCCTGCTGTCCGTCACCGGGATCCAGCACTGCTCACAGCGGCAGCCATCCAGCCTAGTGTGTGGGGCGCAGGAATGGTCGGTGGCAGCAGTCAGGGTGACATTGCTGAGTGCCGGCCGGGGACAGCGATCCAATCAGATCGGTCACATCTCGCAGCACAACAGACGAGTAGGAATGATTGTGGAGTTGAGAAATAAACAGCAACCAGGCACCAGTCACACAGCCTGAATGGAATCTTCCACTCTTTCACTTGTAGTTGTCATCCGACAATAAAGGGCCATTCAGTGGTGTGGATGATGTGCCAATCACTGACTGTCTTCGTTCCTCCAGGCGCTGAGCACATGCAGGCAGGCTGGAATTGTGGTGACAAAGCAGAATCACATTCAGCAGACATCACACACCGAATTCTCCATCGCCGTAAGCAGGCTGTACGCCCCTTTTGGGGTAATTGAGAGAGACGGAATGTCTCCGGGAGGTTCGATCAGTCCAATCCGTCCGCCTAGTTCACGTTGCCATTGTGGAAAACCGATTCCGAAAGCCTTTTGGCAGAATCCATCTGGTCATCCCAACAGCGGAGGTGTGAGTAGCGTACAACGGATCTCTGGTGTAGCAGTCCCCGTCCGGAGATCGCTGAACACTTCTCACTGTTGCATCCTTGGCTTCTCTTCCGATTGCTATCCCTAAAGGATCCAGCCGAAGAGAAAATGCCCACTTCAGCCGCGTCCAGCCTCCATTCAGCGCGCTTTATACCGTCAAATCAGCAGCCGCTCCGTCCTCCTCGTTCATTCATTCACCTTGTCAGTGAACGAAAGGAAAAAAAAAAAGCAAGCCCTGCAGATCTGTAAAATAGGAGGCATCAACTTTCCATAGCCGGAGAAATCAAAGAATCATCCAGACAACGCTTTTGTTTTTAGTGGCTGAGTGGGATTTGTCTTCCCTCCGTGAGATCCACAGATGAATAAATGGGTAGGACAGACTCATGGGAGGAGGGCAGCAGCCACACACACTGCTTCCCATTGTCATCCAAAGCGCCTGTCACCAGACTGTCACACCATCACCCGCAGCCAGGCTACAAGCAGATGGTGCCTTTGTAACAATCCTAATTTACTCAACCGCTTTCTTCCTTTTCCCTCTCCCAATAATAGGCGGCTTGTGTTGTCAGGATTACATTGAGGGAATTAGCTCCAGTGCTTTTGGAGCACACGAGTCAGTGCAGCAAAAGGTGCAGATGGCTACAGCATCCAGAAATCCATTGGGTGTCACAGTCTCCGGACAGCATTTCTTTTTGAAAAAAGAACTGAAATATCCATATACCAGATCTGAATCCTCAGCTTGTCCAAGGTGTCATTTGTTTTTATCAAATTTGACCAAATCTAACTAAAGGGCATCACAAGTATATAACAATAGGTTTGGCACATTTTTCATCATGGACATTTAATATAGAATAAAAGCCAGCAGGGGCGGACTGACAACTCATGGGGCCCCCCGGGCAATAGGGGATCATGGGGCCCCTGTGTCCTCGCCCAAACTCAAACCACACCCAAAAAAGCCTATGAAAAAGGTACCAGGGGCATCTCATGGGGCCCCCTACTGATCCCGCGCCCTTAGGCAGTGCCCGAGTTCCCAAATGGTCAGTCCACCCCTGAAAGCCAGTCAAATTATAGATGGCTTGCAATGGCCAATCAGCTATTAAAGATTTTTTTTAATAAACAATCCTCCTAGATTGTAAACTCCAAGGAGCAGGACCCTCCTAACCCTCTTGTATTGAACTGTATTGTTGCTGTATTGCCTCCCTGTCAGGGGCGGACTGACAACTCATGGGGCCCCCGGGCAATAGGAGATCATGGGGCCCTTGTGTCCTTGCCCAAACTCAAAAAAGCCTATGAAAAAGGTACCAGGGGCATCTCATGGGGCCCCCTACTGACCCCGGGCCCTTGGGCAGTGCCCGAGTTTCCGCCCCTGCTCCCTGTATATTGTAAAGTGCTGAGCAAACTATTGGCGATATATAAATCCTGTATAATAATGTAATAATAATAAACGTATAAAAAAATTACACAACAATATTTATAAATGAGAATGAAAAAAATGGTGCTAGGACTCCGTTGGATGTCAAAAAAACATGTCACCTAGCACAATACCATAATACATAGTATAATAAACATCACAAAACAATAGGAGAAATTAGAATGTGCGTACAATACAATAGTGGAATGAAAATATATCAAACTCATGTGTCACCACAAATTGACAGCATTTCTTTTTTATTAAAGAAGAATTGAAATATCCATATAGCAGATCTGAATCCTCAGCTTGTCCAAGGTGTCATTTGTTTTTATCAAATTTGACCAAATCTAAGTAAAGGGCATCAGAAGTATATAAAAATAGGTTTGGCACATTTTTCATCACTGACATTTAATATAGAATAAAAGCCAGTCAAATTATAGATGGCTTGCAATGGCCAATCAGCTATTAAAGATTTTTTTTAATAAACAATCCTCTTAGATTGTAAGCTCCAAGGAGCAGGGCCCTCCTAACCCTCTTGTATTGAACTGTATTGTTGCTGTACTGCCTCCCTGTAAATTGTAAAGTGCTGAGCAAACTATTGGCGATATATAAATCCTGTATAATAATAATAATAAACGTATAAAAAATTACAAAATATTTATAAATGAGAATAAAAAAAATGGTGCTAGGACTCTGTTGGATGTCAAAAAAACATGGCAGCTAGCACAATACCATAATACATAGTACTGTATAATAAACATCACAAAACAATAGAAGAAATTAGAATGTGCGTACAATACAATAGTGGAATGAAAATATGTCATACTCATGTGTCACCACAAATTGAAAGCATTTCTTTTTTATTAAAGAACAATTGAAATATCCATATACCAGATCTGAATCCTCAGCTTGTCCAAGGTGTCATTTTTTTTTTATCAAATTTGACCAAATCTAACTAAAGGGCACCACAAGTATGTAACAATAGGTTTGGCACATTTTCCATCACTAACATTTAATGTAGAATAAAAGCCAGTCAAATTATAGATGGCTTACAATGGCCAATCAGCTATTAAAGATTTTTTTTAATAAACGTATAAAAAAATTAACAATATAAATGAGAACAAAAAAAAACCGTGCTAGGACTCCATTGGATGTCAAAAAAACATGGCGGCTAGCACAATACCATAATACATAGTATAATAAACATCACAAAACAATAGGAGAAATTAGAATGTGCGTACAATACAATAGTGGAATGAAAATGTATCAAACTCTTATGTGTCACCACAAATTTAAAAAAATAAAGGAATCCAAATGTGAAGCCAAAAACTGAATTCAGTGGTTCTTTGGTTATGACAGATGTGGATACCAAACACCACCAAACTTCTTTTGCTGCGTAAACTGTTGGCGCTATATAAATCCTGTATAATATTACTAATAATAATCTGCTGCAGATGTTACTTACACATTTATTTTATGTACAATACGATTACCTACTTGCCCTCCAGAGGATTTACCCCCCTTCCTGACCAGGCCATTTTTTGCGATACGTCGCTGTGTTATTTTAACTGACAATTGCGCAGTCATGCAACGCTGCACCCAAATTAAATTTATGTCCTTTTTTTCAACACAGCTTTCTTTCAGTGGCATTTGATCACCTGTGTGGTTTTTATTTTTTGCACTATAAACAATAAAAACTGACAATTTTGAGAAAAAAAAAACGATATTTTTGATTTTTTGCTATTAAACATGTCCAGTAAAAAAAGTTTAAAAAATCAAATTTCGCCATAAATTTATGTCTTTTTTTACCCACAAATAGAGCTTTCTTTCAGTGGCATTTGATCACCTGTGCAGTTTTTATTTTTTTGCGCTATAAACAATAAAAGCTGACAATTTTGAGAAAAAAAAACTATATTTTTGATTTTTTGCTATTAAACATGTTCAGTAAAAACAATTTTAAAAATCAAATTTCATCATAAATTTATGTCCTTTTTTTCCCCACAAATAGAGCTTTCTTTCAGTGGCATTTGATCACCTGTGCGGTTTTTATTTTTTGCACTATAAACAATAAAAGGCCAACAATTTAGAGAAAAAAAACAATATTTGTGACTTTTTGCTATTAAACAAGTCCAGTAAAAAAATTTTAAAAATCTAATTTCGTCATAAATTTAGGCCACATTGTATTCTGCCACATGTCTTTGCTAAAAAAAAAATCCCAATACGTGTAAATTAATTAGATTACATGAAAGTTATAGCGTTTACAAATGGCAGTATAGATACTGGATTTTTTTTTTCATACTAGTAATGGCGGCAATCAGCGACTTATAGCGGGACTGTGGGACTGCGACGGGCATTCTGACACTGGGGGGGAACTAACTGTCACTGATATCCCCAGTGACACTAATACAGTGATCAGTGCTAATAAAAAGCACTGACACTGTACTAATGACACTGGGCAGGAAGGGGTTAACACGTGGGGCGATAAAAGGGTTAACTGTGGGCTGTTTTACTGTGTGCTGTGTGTGTGTTTCACTGAGTAAGCACATTGCTTTGTATTGCTCTGCTATGCAGAGCAATACAAAGCAATGTGCAGGAGCTGACGGGAGAGATCTGTACTGTTTGCATACAGGTCTTTCCCCATCAATGATACTCAGCGATCATCAGGTGCCAGTGGGGAATCACCAACGGGGACCTGGTGATTGACAGCTAAGGCCGCCAAAGCCGGCGCGTGCACGCCCCCCTACCCGGAAATGCAAAATCATGTATATACTGTATACATATATATATATATATATATATATATATATGTGTGATTTTGCCCAGCCCTGACGCCCTGTAGCAGTATTTTTGCTACAGGGGCGACGGGAAAGCCGTTAAAGAATTATCCAACGATAAACATGTAAAAAATTATACAACAA